GTGGGAATCCTTGACCACAGAGAGCACCCTGTGGACTGTGTCCATGTGGCACATTCACTGAGACGGTTTCTGGAAAGGGCTGGGTTCCCCGAAACCTTGCCGTGGAACTTTGGCCTTGGAATGGGGAGCACTTCTGGAGAATTTCTTAGAGGACGTTTGCTTGGGCTGTGCTCACAGTGTGCCCCCTTCACGTGCTCACCTCAGAGCACGTGTTGGCCAAGACCCTCCCAGGGACTCGGAGCCACAGAAGAAGTTTCTCTGGACACCCGCGTCGAGGCTCGCCTCAGATACACGCAGAGAATGTGCGGGGATACAGAGTCATCTGCTCAGAACATCCCCGCTGGCTGGGCGCAGTGGCTCATACCTGTAATCCCAGCACTTTGGAAGGCTGAGGTGGGAAGTTTGCTTGAGGCCAGGAGTTTGAGACCAGCCTGGGCAACACAGGAAGACCTCGTCTCTACAAAAAAATTCAAAAACTTAACCGAGTGTAGTGGCACACACCTGTAGTCCCAGCTACTCGGGAAGCTGAGGTAGAGGATCGTCTGAGCCCAGGAGGTCGAGGCTGAGGTGAGCCATGATTGTGCCACTGCACTCCAGCCTGGGTGACTGAGTGAGACCCTTACTAAAAAAAAAAAAAAAAATACCCTCCATATCCCTTCTTCCTTGCTTCACATGGTGTTTCTTTTTTTTCTCTTTTCTATGAGTTGGAGTCTTACTCAGTCGCCCCAGACTGGAGTGCAGTGGCTGCTCCCAGCCACCGCAGCCTTGACTTGCTGGGCTCAGGCGATCCTTCCGCCTCAGTCTTCCAAGTAGCTGGAACTACAGGCATGTGCTACCACACCTGGCTAATTTTTTGATTTATTGTAGAGATGGGGTCTTGCCAAGTTGCCGAGGTGGGTCTTGAACCCGTGGACTCAGGCAATTCACTCACCTCGGCCTCCCAAAGTGCGGGATTACAGGGTGAGCCACCAAGCTCTCCCCTAGTGAAGGCAGGTGGTCAAGGGAGGGCTTCTCGGGAGAGGTGGCACTTCAGCAGAGACCTGGAACATCTGGAAAGAGCCTTCAAGGCGGAGGGCCCGGCGAGTGCAAAAGGCCTGGACAGGAGCTGTGCTCACATGTCAGAGGAACGGCTGACATGTCTGGAGCCGGGGCTAGGGGGGACTGGTAAGCCGCAGGGGCAGGGACTGGCCATATCACGGAGGGCCTGGTCGTGCTCGAAGGCTTTATAAAATCAGGTCGTGATGAATACTGTGAAGACAAGTAAGTAAGGGGGCAACAGCAGGGGCTTCTCGAAAGCCGAGTGGTCGGGAGGGTCTCTCGGAGGAGGTGACGTCTGAGCAGAGGCCTGTGTTAAGCGTGGCTGTCTGGGAAGAGTGTTCTGGGAACGGGAAGAGCAAAGGCTTGGGAACAGCAGGGAGACCAGAGTGGCCGGGTGGCGAGGGGCACCGCAGGTGGGGTTCAAGGGGTACGCAGGGGCCAGATCAGGAGGCCGATGTCACTCCAAGCAAGGAGGCAGCCACAGGGGCATGGAGAGCAAGGGACAGGATGTGACACGGGATCGGGAAGGGCAGACCCGTGGGGCAGGCGGCGGGACCCGGGCCTGCCTGCCTGCCGGTCAGAGTCCGGTTTCAGGGGGCCTCGGCCCCGGGCCAGGCTGGGCCCCAGAAGGCAGAGCAGGGGCGGAGACCCGCCCCCCTTCTTCCCGGAGGCCTGCGGGCCGCGGTCGCTTGTCCAGGCCAGAGGATGTTCTCGCTGGGGAGGAAACAGCCTGTCCCACATCAAAAGGGGGCCGGGCGGCTCCCACGCTTGGGCGTCGTGAGAACTCGGCTCCCCGGGTTCTCACAGGAGGCTGCGGACTGAGAGAGGCTGGGACCGCCTCGGGACACCCCCGAGCTCACCGATGATGTGTGGTGAAAACAGCCTTGCCTTGACACCCCATGGGAGCAAGACTGACTTGGGTAACCCAGGACTCTTGTGATTTTCAAGGGGTTCCAGAAACGTTAGGGCGGCTGAGCTCTAAGTCCTTCTTTTCCTGAGGTACCCTCGGCCTGACCCCCAGGCTGAAGACCTGGCAAGACCAGGGTCGTTTGCCGATTAGTCGAGGCTGACTGGAGAGCTGTGCTGAGGACTCTGCTCAGCTTGAGACAGTGCTGTGATAGATTCGTGATGTCCGCCTCGGGTAGGAGCTGAGACAGAGGCTGTATGTATGCTGAATAGTTTTCTTCCACTCATTGTGCAGATGCTCCTGCAGACAAGGAGAGGTGTTTTCTTCTGATGAGACAGAAAAGAAGGAAGAGAGGTGGGAGGGACCCAGACTTAACCAGTGCGTCTGAACTAGAGGTTCTTGAGGGACAGACATGGAGGAGGAGAAGCTTGAAGAACAAGCCTCTGTAATCTCTTTTAAAGTATGGGGAGGTCAGGCAAGGTGGCTCATGCCTATAATCCCAGCACTTTGGGAGGTCAAGGCAGGAGGATTGCTTGAGGCCAGCCTGGGCAGCATAGCAAGACCCCTCCCTGTCTCTACAAAAAAGTGATTTTGTTTGTTTTTAATGAAGTTAGGTGGTGATACTCACCCCCCCCACCTGAAGGTCCAGGAGGATGATGACAGGCCCCAAGGAGGGTCAGCTAAATACCCAGGGCCCCCTCCCTGGGAGTCTGGCAGGCTGCCAAAGGAGAAACTCATGACACCCCCACTCTCACGTCCGCAACAAACTGTGTCTTAACTCATTTAACCCTCCCTATGCCTGTTACACACGGGGAAACTGAGGCACCACACCTTCCTCTCACCCCAGCTGACCAGACCCCTCCAAAGCCCTCAAAGAGGTGGGAGAGCCCTGCCCACAAGTGCCAGCCTGTGTGGCTGCACATAGCAAGGGCTCTGGGCTGTGCGTGTGTGCTAGGATGCCTGCATGTGGGCCAAGTGTGGGCTCCCGGGCGGGCTGACCGTCTGTGTGTCAGTGTGAGGGTGTGTGGTCACAGTGTGTGTGCCAGTGAATGCGAGTCAGTGTGTGCGTCTATGCTCCTGTGCATAGTGTGAGTCGGTGTGTGTGCGTGGTCCCTGTGTGCTGTGTGGACTAGCATGTGCCCATGCCCCGTGTGCCGTGTGGACTGGAGTGCGCCTGTGTCCTGCGGGTGGCAGCAGGTCCTTCTGAAGCTGCAGATGGTGTGCCCATGAGGACCAAGAGCACACCCACCACATTGCCGTGTTTTCCCCGCTCTGAGGGGGGCTGGGCAGGGTGGTGTGAGCCGGTCCTGTGTGAGCACCTGCTTGTGTGTCCGTGTGTATGTCCCCACGTGTGAGCCTCTGTGTTGTGTGGGGCAGTGGTCCCCGAGTGTGTGTGTGTGTGTGTCGGGGGGGGTGTTCTCCAGTCTCCAGGCAGGTGTGTGTGTGTGTGTGTGTGTGTAGGTGTCTAGGTCTAGATCTGTGTATGTTCATGGTGTGTGTTCCCTGAGGTGTGTGTGTCTGTGTTGACATCTGTGCAGGGCACACATGCCCTGGTGTGTGTGGTGTGTTCCCCAAGCACATGTGTGTCTGTATATGTATGAGGTTCCTGTCTGTGTGCAGGTATCTGTGGTGTGTTTCCAGGGCGTGTGTGTTTGTGTGTCTCTTGCGTAGACGTGTGTGGTTTGTTCCCTGCAGGGTGTATATGTTTGCATGATCCTCTCCGTGTGTGTGCGCACATCTGTATCTGTGTCATTGTGCATGTGGTGTGTTTGTGTGTGTGTGTTTCTGGACCTACTCTAGTAGTGCCCAGACCTAGCAAGGGCTCCATGTACTTGAAGATGTTCCCAGCCAGCTGCCCGGTGCCACCTGTGCCTGCCAGGATCGGGTGACAGCACTGGACAGGCTCAGGCCCCGGTGGGCAGGCCAGGCCTCCGTGGCTCCCCTGCAGCCCGGCCACTTCCCTCCCCTCTCCTGGCACAGCCCGGGCCTCCAGGCTGGCCCTGGAGTTCAGGACACCCCTATCATCAGGATGCATCCAACCAGGGTCCCGGGCCTGTCTGCAGTAGGACAGCGGTCCCCTGCATAGACTGAAGTACTGAGAGCCCACCGGCGCCATCCATACCACAGCAAGTTGTCTCATCCAGCCCTCCTGACAGCACTGTGAGAGAGACGCTATCGTGCGCATTTTACAGATTAACTGAGGGTCAGGAGGTTAAGTGACTTGTGCTAGGTTTTCACTGCAGCGCTGTGGTTTCCCATCTAAGATGAGAAATGACAGCAGGACTCAGTGGCTGAGAGGCAGAGTGGGAAGTGACACGGCCAGGGCTACACAGCTGATGGCAATGGTGATGACAGCTACTGCTTTTAGAACCTTTGTGTAGGTCCCAGGAACTGTGCTTGGCCCTTGACGTGTAGAATTTCATGGAATCCTCAGCATACACAAAAGAAAGGCACCATGTTATCCCTGCTGATGTACCGCGGGTCGCCGAGCTTACTCCTGGTTGAACTGAGCTATGAAAGCAGTTCTTTGGGGGCTGGGGGAAGAGGGAAGCTCCCCTTCTCTAGGAGCACTTCCTTTGAAGAGGGTGCAATGCCTTAGTCACAGGAACTGATATCAATACATATTCCAGAAGGAAAAAAATCCTCAACATCAAATGTCTTTGGAAAACCTAAACTTAACTGCACACTCGATGTTCTAGTGCAGGACTTATCAGAACCTTTAACGTGCTCAGATATGTTGTGAATCTCTGTGGGGTGGCAGTGACGTGTTTCCTCACTTATTTGTTCCCTGAGTCCTTCTTTCCTGGAAGGTTTTATGGAAGTAGCGTTCCATATGACAAACTTTGAGAGATGCTAGAATCACTAGATCACTAATGGTTGGGTTTCAAACACAGTGGCCAGTGAAAGTGAACTGTGAGAGCCAAAGTGATCTCGCTGTGGGGTGAGGAGGAGTCAGCCCTGAGTCTAGGGGTGCACCCCGTCAGAACCCGGCGGAGGTCCGGGCCACACCCCGCCCCATAACAGGATGCCAGAGCAGAGAGTGAGTTTCCTAGGGATGGTTGTAGAGGACACAGACGGGCACAAAGAGGTCGGGGTGCGCCCAGGAGCCAGAGACAGAAGGCAAGCCAGGGTCCCCCGATGTGGAGTCAGGGGCTGGAGTCCAGCTGCGGCCTCTTCTCCCCGCAGTGTTCCTGCGCTCCCGGTGAAGAACTTGAATGGCACTGGGCCGGTGCACCCGGCCCTAGCAGGTGAGGCCCCGCCCGGGGCGGGAAAGAGGGGCGGGCCCTCGTGGAGGCAGCCCCGCCTCTCGCCCCCAGGACCCCGCCCCTCGGCGAGTTGCTGGGCGGGGCCTGGAGGAAACGTCCCCGGTCATTGGCCCAGGGCCCCGAGAGGCGGGGCCCGCAGGAGGCG